TTGAACCCCCAACCCCCGGAACCTCCTGCCTCCAGTCAGCTGTCAAGCCTGGTGTGGGACCCTGCAGTGGAACTCCCTCAGACTGGCTAGGAGTGACATTCAGCCAGCTAATCCAGGAGCAGAACAGCTCACAAGTGCAGCACAGCAGGGTCCTTCCCTGGGCTGCAACAGGAAGAAGCAAAACACAGCAGCCAGACTTAAGCCAGGCCCAGCTGGATGAGGTCGAACTTGGTAAACTGAGACATACTGCTAGAACCAGATCTATGAGAACATCCTCTCTCTCTCTCTCTCTCTCTCTCTCTCTCTCTCTCTCTCTCTCTCTCAGTCAATCGAGTCTCTGGGTACATCAAGGGGACCTGATCAGATACATTTCAGGGGAACTAATTTAAATATAAATTCCCAACTTGATATCTGCTAGATATACAGTCATGATGCTGGCCCTTGGGGTATAAAATACAAACCAATTAATTACAAAAGTTGATCAAGCGCTAAAACTCACTACCCATTATTAGTGATACTAATTGTAGTACTATAAATACAAAACTGCAATTGCTTTAACCACATAATCTCCCCTGGGTAATGATATCCATAAGAGTTAAGGTAACTACTACACCAAGGCACTATACAAAAGGTCAGAAGATAGTGCTATACAAAATGACAAAAGAAAGGAGAAAAATGCAGTCTCAAGAACTGAACCCACCCAAACAAATGCAGGAGACACTAGTATTGAAAAATTGGAAGGCACATACCTGAAATAATAGTGTCTGAAGTAAAGAAATAACTGCAAAAAGGTATAGATGATATCAGATCAGAAAAAATTGCCAAAGTAAATAAAGAAATGATAGCTATAATGAAAGAAGTACTAAGTGCTTCTAAAAACAGAGTGACAAAAAATAGAGGAGAATAGAAAAATGACAAAATTCTTGCATGAGCAATATAGGAAAGAAATAGAATGCATGAAGCAGATTCAAAGAGATATACAGGAAATTAAAACCTAAATCACAAGCTGGCAAAACTGTTTGAATGAAACTGACGACTAAATTTCAGATCTTGAAGATTCTGTGGCAGCTAGTGAAAGGGTAACAAAAGATCTCTCAAAAACAATTAGGATGCAGGAAAAAATAATTCATCATCTGCAAGACAATGCAAAGATGAACAATGTAAAACTAATTGGCATTAAACAGAAAGGAGACAATACAAATGATATAAAAAGAGTATGGGCAAAAGTAATAGCAGAATAATCCCCAAATAAGGGGAAACAATCTGATATTCAGATAGCTGAGACATATAGAACTCCAAATAACATCAATCCAATGAAAAACACACCCAGACATACAATAATCAAGATCCCAGAAATCCAGCACAAAAGCAATATACTAAAAGTCGCTAGAGAAAAGAAACAGATCACATTTAAAGGAAAACCCATCAGAATAATGGCAGACTTCTCTTCACAAACCATCAAGTCAAGAAGAGCATGGAGCAAAGTACTTCAAGTCCTCCATGAAAACAAATTCTACTACACACTGTTAAACCTGCAAAACTCTCTCATGTTCTCAGACTGAACTTCAAATGAAGAATGATGAAGTGAGATAAAGAAGGCCACTATATACTGCTTAGGGGGAAAATACAAGAGGAAGAGGTAACACTCATAAATATGTATACACCAAACACGGGAACACCAAACTATATAAGAGAATACCTAATGGACATGAAAAGTCTAATATCCAGTACCACAATATTAACAGGATACCTTAACAGCCCCTTATCCCAAAATGAAAGGTCAAGCAGACAAAAAAATTAGCAAAGAAGTGGTAAAACTGAACCAGAACTTGGAACAAGTGGATTTAGTGTACATATACAATATGTTCCACGCAGCCACAGCTGAATACACATTCTTTTTCAGCTTCACATGGGCCATTTTCTAAAACAGACCAGACACAAGTCCATAGGTTATGCTAAAGTATATGCAAGAAAAAAGAAATTATCCCATGCACATTATCTGACCACAGTGTAACGAAACTGGAAATAGATGACAAAAGAAACCACAAAAACCTCATAAATACAGAGAAATTAGACAACACACTTCTCTGCAACCAATGGATAACAGATCAAATAAAACAAGAAATTAAACAATGTCTACAGTTTGATGAAAAATTCAAACACAATTTATCAGAATCTATGGTATGCACTGAAAGTAGTTCTTAGAGGGAAATTTATAGCTGTGCACTTACACATTAGGAAAACACAAAAGGAACGAATAAATACCCTCATACTGCACCTGAAACATCTAGAAAAAGAAAAGCAAACCAAATCCAAAGCCAAAGACCGGAGGACATTATAAAGATTAGAGCACAAATTAATTCAACTGATACTGCTATACTGTACCTCAATTAAATGTTTGTTTTTTAAAAAGATAATAAAT